ATATCAACTAGTGCTTGTTTAGCTGATAGTCATTCCTTGCTGTACGACTATAATGGCTCTTGATATGTTCTCTTCCTGCATTCTACCACAATATCTGATAATGAGAGAGAGAGGGAGATTAGGAACAAATGACAAACATTTTTAAATTCAAAATTTGTTGTTTTTATGCTCCTCTAAAGTATTATAAGTGAATCCTGAGCACAATGGCCCATGTGATGATATACTGTATTTGATTTTGTGGGTCAATAGCAAAATGGATTGGAACAATTTGGTTATAAAAAATTGGGACGAAACAAAAAGAGCAAGGACATGCAAATATAAATTAAAATATACCAGAATGTACAATATTATATCTACATACTCAAAGTGTTGCCCACTCACTGTTTAATAGTCTTAATGCCAACTTTAGGATCTTCAGGAAAGAACACAAACATCTGATCAGTTGGATCATCATTATGAGCCACTAGTATTGAGAGGTCGTTCCTTGAAGGGTGCCCATCATTGGGCCTCTCCCCGAACTGCTCCTTAAATTGATCTAAAGTTTGATCCAACTCGTCCTGGGTCACCAGATACCGCCGTCATGACACATCTGCATGACCGTCTTCCTAATACGCCATAGTCTGTAGGTTACCTCCTCGTTATCCATTAGAAGAGAGAAGAAAAGATAGGAGAAGATGAGCAAACACTAAAAATGCTGATTATGTAAATAGGCGTGGTCAAAGAGTTGACCCACGTTGTAGCACGTGGGTTATTTGGGTGTGACGGAAGGCGTGGTTAAAATAAGGCGCCATTTTGAAATAGGTGGGGCTAGTATAGTGGAGTACTATCTCTCCAGTTCTTTCAGCATTTCCATGCTCCTCAATCACTCTTCTTCTACTGTATAATGTCTGAGGTAAGATTCCTCTAGTCTTTATCTACATGCTCTTATTTTTAATAATTTTTCTTTATTTTTAGGAAGAAATTGTGACTAATACTACACCAGAAGTTCTCTACCTGCTGCTGTGTAGAGAGCACAGGGTCTCCAGGAGCGTTAGAGTCAATTGGTTCTTTAATAACTTATTCAAGAGCAGCTCACAATGGCTGAGCACTGGACGCAGTGTAATTACAAGAACATTTATCATTATTCTGGGACCGGGGCTTAGTTTGTAACCTAGGGGGCTTGGGATTATCTTTATAGGGGGTCTGGTACAAGTTTAAAATTTAATAAGGGTATCGTAATTTTTAAACTTAGGTTGAAGATTGATTTAAAATTTAAAATTTTATTATTATTATTACTTGATTAAAATTTTAATTTATTATTATTATAAATTTAATTTATTATTATTATAAAAATATTATTATAAATTTAGTTTATTATTATTACTATAGGAAGGAGAGCAAGATGAAGGTGCTACAGTTAAAGGAGATGACCCATTAACTGTACTATGGAGTAATACTGATAGACTCACTCCATCAACTAGTGTACATTACATTGCACAGAATGCCAGTTTAATATTTGTCATAGATATGACATCATCGATGATGCAAGTGGTGAGTAGGCGGAGCAATACAAGAATACTTAATTAGAAAAATACCCAAGGCTATAGCCCATGGGTTTTTCCAAAAAATGGCTCTGGAATCACCCCAAATTTTTATTACATTTTTGATACATATTGATGTCCTTATGCTATGTAGCAAGTTTGAGCTGATTCCGACTTCAATTTTTCAAGTTACGGCCATTTTAAGAAAACACCAAAATTCTGAAAAATACCCAAGGCTATAGCCCATGGGTTTTTCCAAAAAATGGCTCCAAAACCACCCCCAATTTTTATTACATTTTCTGATACATATTGATGTCCTTATGCTGTGTAGAAAGTTTGAGCTGATTCCGACTTCAATTTTTCAAGTTACAGCCATTTTAAGAAAACGCCAAAATTCTGAGAAAATCTCTGTACTATAGCCTATGGTTTTTTCCAAAAAATGGCTCCGAAATCACCCAAAATTTTTGTTATATTTTCTGATACATATTGATGTCCTTATGCTGTGTAGCTAGTTTGAACTGATTCTGACTTCAATTTTTCAAGTTACAGCCATTTTAAGAAAACATCGAAATTCTGAAAAATACCCAAGGCTATAGCCCATGGTTTTTTCCAAAAAGTGGCTCCGAAATCACCCCCAATTTTTATTACATTTCCTGATACATATTGATGTACTTATGCTATGTAGAAAGTTTGAGCTGATTCCAATCAAAATTGGATTTTTTACAAATTTTAAAAGTTGCTTCAAAATCAGGCCAAAGTCCCTGTACAGTCAAACCTGTCTAAACGGTCACTGCTTAAAACAGCCAGCTACTTTAAAACGGCCACTATTTAATGTCCCAATTTTTTGGACAATGACTGTAATACTAAACTTACCTGTCTCAGCGGTCACTCTGTAAGATGGTTAACGGTCACTGACAGAATTAATCTCCATCAAGACTGATAAAGACCACCACTGTGTACAGACAGCCAGATAGCCACGCCTATTGTACCACGCCCATTTTGAATTAATTTTTACATCATTAATAATGATTAATTTTTTTTTAATTGTTATCTCAAATAATACCTTCGAAATAATACTATATACAACTCAGTTTAGGTCTTTAGGGGTACCTAAAAGTTCTTTAAGTCTTGTTATATAGTTTCTATGGCCAGTAAATGTGTACAAAATAATTTAAACTGTATTTAAAGGCATCTCTATAAAAAGGCCACCTGCATAAGACAGCCACTAAATGCATGTCCCAAGGTGACCGTTTTAGACAGGTTTGACTGTACTATAGTACAGGGTCGTTGGCCAACTTTCACCAAAATTGAAAAGGAGAGAATTCTCCATTTTCATGACTTTTTATGATGCATATACATGTCCTTATGTCATGGGCGGTTGCAGAAATTTGGTTTGACCTGGGCATCAATAATTAGTGGGTGTGGAGTGGGTGTGGTTTTATACAATTTTGCAAGGAAAATGGATAATATTGATCTATAACTTCATTGAGATGGTTTCTTAGCTTAAAACAACAAAGAAGCCTGTTGAACTACCACAGTTTATACTGGATGCCCACACCAGAATCATGAATATAATTATTGGTCAAAAAAGTCAACCTGGGCATTGCCCCCTAATGCCCAGGTCTGCAACCGCCTATGCCTTATGTTGTGTACAAAGTTTGAGCTGATTCCATTTCTCTCTTTCTCTCCAGACGCTAGTATTAACATGTCTGATGCACCTAGTTGGTCACAAGTACACCATCATCTTTGGTCTAATAGTGCAGGCTATACAATTATTCATTTATGGCGTGTGGACCAGTAAATGGCTGATGTGGACAGCTGGTGTCTTTGCCACTCTATCAACAATCATATACCCAGCAATAAGTGCTTTAGTCAGCAAAAACACCAAACCAGAACAACAAGGTAATATTGATTTTATAATTTTAATATTAATTAATTACTCATTTTGTAGGTGTGGTTTTAGGTATTTTGACTGCAATGAGAGGTTTATGTAACAGATTAGGCCCCGCCCTTTTTGGTCTTATCTTTTATCTTTCTCACATTCATTTAAAGGAAGTGGGTAGTGTGAGTGTTGCCATGGCAGCAACCAGCAGTAATGATATTCATGGGTTCGGCGGAGCCAGTCCTGTACTAATTAATGGGACTATGTCACCTACTGATATCAGCATACATGGGGTAAAAATAAAAATTAATTATGGTTATTATTATTATATTGATAGGGTGGTCTATTCAGAGGTCTTCCATTCCTATTTGGTGTAATACCAGTACTAATTGCACTGGTTGTTGCCTTGTGTATTAAAGATACTAATAGTTTTATAAAGAAATCATCAGGTAACTAAAAGAATTGATTTTAACAAAATACATGTACCATAGAAAATGTTCATGTTGTGTTGATTGACAGTGATTCTTTCATTTTTGTAGAACACAATTCACTCAATGTATTA